ACGATATTAGTTATATGTTTTTTAGATTTATTATGAGTCATACACACTAACTCCTTAATCTGAATCATAAAAGTAGAAAACACAATTAGATCTTGAGATCTACTATTATTTCTCATTCTCCAAATCATCAAATAATTACAATAATGACATTTACTTTAATCACTTTAAGCAAAAAAACTTCAATGAGATTTCATAAATCAAACAACCAAATATAAAGAAAACAAATGAAAGAAATATTAAATATTATTACCACATCAAGAACATGTAAAGTATAAAATCACTCATATTTTTTTGAACCTCCAAATCAATAGGTAGATGACTGGACAACAACTTCCTATGAACCAAAGTTTTAATTGGTGACATGTCATTTAACCAAACAAATTCCCTTAATCCATGTATCAGAAGAGTAAAAAAAAATTGTAACTTTTTGAGAAAACATGTATAGTCCAAAATCCAATTAGACATATCATCGTGCTCATTAACCATTAAAGAAGAAAAATCACATAAATTGATAATGAAAGAAGGAAAATTCTAAGGAGTATTTGTCCATATCCAACTAACAACAAGGTATAACCATACTTTGTCAAACTATGGAATTCTAACAAATTTAAGTATTAAATGTTAGGATACCAATTCCAAATATTAATATAATCACCTTTACCTAGTGTCTAAAAAGTATTTTCAAGAACAACATCACATGCACCCTTGATGTCATACCAAATTGACAATATTTTAATAACATAATTTTTATACTTAAACTTAAAAAATTGAAAAAACATAAATTCAGTCAAAGTCATTTTGTTTTAAGCAAACTTTTGAGCTAAACATATCATATATATACTTTATTCTCTAACACAATATTAATAACCTATAAACCTTTATTCATCTTAGAACCACACAGAATAGACAATTTAATAGTGAACAATCCTTTTTTTTTATGTATCCTTAATTAAAACAAAATTTTGAATCCATTTTGTAATTTAAGAAGAAGCTTAATAGACTATTTGTAAACTTAAAAGTTATAAGACAATAAGTCAATAATTATCAAATTATTACCTTAATTCTTTCCATAGTACTAAGCAATTTCTTTTTCAATAAACAAATTCATTAAGAATGTTATCAATCAATAAATGAAAAAACGAAGCTCTTACATAAGTTAGCATGCCCAAATATGTAAAAAGAAAAGATAATTGATTACAAGATAGAAACCTCTTGGAAACGTTTGACAAAAGAAACATAAACATTAACTATGTAAAAAATGCTTTTAGGAGGACTTACCCATTAATTAAAAAAAGTTTTGTATTTTTAAAAAGTTTTGTACTTTTAAAAGAAAAATTTCAAATGCTACGAGATCGTATCATTAGCATAGTATTAAAAGGAAATCATAGTGACCATGAAAAACATAAACTTCTTAAAATTAAGCTTTAAAATCCATAATTATAAATATTAATATATATTTAATCATATAAATAATATATTATGGTTTTTTTAATTTTTTTTTAACTCATTCCTTATACACCCAAAATACGAAGAAACGATGATTGCATCATTTAATATACTAGATAGTTGATTGTTTCAAAAAGAAAAAAACAACAACAACTAAAAGCACAAACAATGTACATTTGATTAATTAAATGCACCTATCCAAATTTATATTAATATTTCAATCAATCAAATTATAATTTAACCACTTAAAATCGTATTAGTGACTTTGACAAGTTGAAAATAAAAAAAAATTAACCAATTATATATATATAATGTGCAAAACTAAAAATAAAATTTGGTCATCGTTTAAAGGTAATACATGAATAATCAAACCAATATCTAATCACATATTAACAAAATACGCTAAACATATTATGAATATAAATAGGGTTACCAAAAATAGTATAACGATGATATATGAATTACTCTATTTGTGCAATGGAATTTAGGCATCATAATCACTTATAGCATTTCTTGAAGTATGGAAAAAGCAGTATGTCAAATGTTTAAAAAGGAATTAGAATTTTAAATATAGTTATTAATTATAAAGTAGGATAAATAGCTACAATAAATATTTTTGTGTTAAAAAAATTATACTTTTAACATAAAATCCTAATTTTTTATTTAAATTTCATTAATCGTAACAGATATTCAAGAAGTATGTTAAAAATATTAAAGTTTATTTATAAGCGTACAACAAATTTTGATATCAAATAAATATATATATATATAGTGAATTAATTTTTTTTTAAAATGTTAAAATAAATTTAATTAAATTAAAAATGTTAGTTTTTCTTGTAATAAGAAAAAACCTAGATATGTAGTTACAAAGTTATCCATAGTTTGTTACGTGTCCCGAAAACAGTAAAAGGTTAAGCAATTGTGCGTAGGAAACGTTGTAAGGGAAAAACAAAAATGTGCCACGTCAGGAAGAATTGGATGAGCAAGAAGTCGTGTCTCTGGTTGCTCAAAAGAAGCTACTACCTCCTCTCCTCTCCTTTCTGCTAAATGCTAATCCACTTCTTCTCTCTCTCACTCTCTCTCTTCATCCATGGAAGTTAACCTCTCTCTCAACCGCCACCGCGCCCTCTCTCTCACCTCCAGCGCTCCCTCTCTCTCCGCTCTCCGCTCGCACTTCCTCGCCTCCACTCACTCTCTCCGTCTTCCTCCCTCGCCACCCTCCCTTCGCTCCCGGAACAAACGCACCACCAGCCGCAACTTAGGCTTCCTCCGCTTCCACTCCCCGCGCTTCGTCTTCAAGGCCTCCTTCCATTCCCACTCCGTCGTCGTCCTCGTCATCGTCGTCACTTTATCCGCCGTTTCCTGGCTCCACTTCACTCTCACCAAGAAAAAAAACAAGTCACTTAACCAGGTCACTTTCCAACAATAATATTCCAATTTCACTCGTTACTTCTTTTCATTGCAATTCTTCCACCTACTTTTCTCGCTTCTTTAATTCTGTTACTAGAGTCTTTTCTGTCTGTTACTTTTTTCGCATTTAGTATAAATTCTTCACTCCACATCTTCGGTTAGATGATGCATGTAGTGTTCTGGATAGAGTTTTGCTGCTGTCCGAGCTATGCAGCTTGTGAATTGATTGAACAATGTCTTCTGTTTCTATAATAACTAACTCTCTGTCTTGTGCAGACACGGGGGCTTACGAATTTCGCATTATCGCCTCAGGGAACTAATGTTGGGAGTCAGGTCATTGATGGCGAGATTCTTGGTTTTACGGAATTTCAAAGGGATAACACGCTGACTGAGATTGGGAAGTTGAAGGATCACCATGGGGAAGAGTACCGGGTCTTTGAGGAAAACGAGATCCACCTCCCGTTTTTGAAATCTTCAGTGGTACAAGAAGTGGCCATCGCCACCGAGACTTCAGAGTCATCTTCTGTTTTTGACTCTGGTTTGAATAATAATAATAATAATAGTAATAGTTCCAAGGTATTGGATGAGTCTTTTTTATCTGTCGCTTTCTCATCAACTTCGTTACCACCTCTAGAGTTTGCTGAGGAAATGGCTATACAAGTGGAAGAAAGTCAAGATAAAGTTAACTCTGATCCCGAGTTGCCTTTAATTGACGTCGAATCCGAGCATACTGCTTCGTCTGTTCGCGTAAACAACGCACTGGCGACTGTTGGTGGACATACTAAAGAAAAGGTTGAGCTTGGTGCCATCAATGGTGACGTCCTTTTTGGGGAGTCAGTTAGGGAAGGGCTGTACATGTTTTATGAGGTTAACAAGCCTGCAACTGGATCTATGACACCGCTGAGTGGTGTAAAGTCATTATCTCCCCGTGCTTCTTTTATGAAAAAAAAACGGTCGCCCTCAGTGATGGGAAATGCCACACTGAAAGGAACAGGGTTATCTACAGATATTCCTCTACAAGATGCAGGTAATTTACGTGAAAGAAAATGTATCATCATATCATTTCAATGATGATATTTTTGGTCAAATCCTTACGTAGTACAGTGATGAACAAGCCAATATTTAAAGAAACTTTTATGTAAACCATGTTTTATTGATTCAGAACATGTCAAAGGAGCAGCTGAACTTTCCAGTCATAATGGCTACCCTCTGCTACATGTGAGTAAAAACTTGAGGAGGGGCAGAAGCTCTTCAAGAGACAGGGAAAGGACCAACATGGATTACAATAATAACACAGTTTTTCCCCAGGCTCACTCAATGAAGATGCATATTGATCTGAAAAATGATCAAATCATGGTGCCTGATGATCAGAAAAATGATCCTTCAAAGCATCTAAGCAAATATAATAATTTGCTAAAACTTGGGAGGTAATTTGCTAACCTGATCTGCCTCCTATGAACACTGAAAAGCTAATGTAATTGATTTATGAGAATACTAGTTGGAGTTTAAAACTTGAAACCAATTTGCTTTCAATGAAACAGTGAGGTGAAACTCCTACCTTCACTTCTTTCTTATTTGTTAACTATATCATGACCTACTTTTACCATTGCTTTTGACATGGGGAGCTTATACTAAGTACATTGATTTTGTTAGGCTACATGAATGTGTAGAAGTGCTTAAACATATGGAAACAAAGGGTTTATTAGACATGACTAAGGTACTTGCATCTTTCTGGTTTTACTCGACATTTAGTTCTTCAATTTTTTTGTTTCTCTTATATGCTTATTTACTTGTTATAGGTTTATCATGCCAAGTTTTTTAACACCTGCAAGAAACGAAAGGCCGTTAAAGAAGCTTTTGATTTCATTAAGCTCATTCCAAATCCAACGCTGAGTACATTTAACATGCTTATGTCGGTGTGCGCAAGCTCCCAAGATTCAGAAAGTAAATATTCTGGTTACTCTCTAAAAGTTCCTTCTTTGTCATCTTTTAAGCTCATGGAATTTTTATTGTCTATTTTTCAGGGGCTTTCCATGTTTTGCAGCTTCTTAAGAATGCTCAACTAGAACCTGATTGCAAACTTTATACCACTCTGATATTAACTTGTGCAAAGAGTGGGAAAGTTGATCTAATGTTTGAAGTAAATTATGGCCCTTCAACTCATCATAGCATGATTTAATTAAATCTAATATAATTTTCTATAAATTGTGAGTCTATTGAAATTGTTAATCTGTATACTTAGGTGTTTCACAAGATGGTTAATTCTGGAGTGGAACCTAACGTTCATACCTATGGGGCACTTATTGATGGCTGTGCTAGAGCTGGGCAAATAGCCAAAGCATTTGGCGCTTATGGAATACTGAGGTCAAAGGTACATTTACTGTAGAATGTCTTTCTAAAGAATTATCTCTGTAGTGGTATGAGTTTAGCTCCTCCCTATTTTTAATTATACATGCTGATGTGATGTTTTATGCAGTAGAATGTGAAGCCAGATCGTGTAGTATTCAATGCACTTATAGCTGCTTGTGCCCAATCAGGAGCTGTAGATCGTGCTTTTGATGTTTTAGCAGAAATGGCAGCTGAAACGCAGCCCATTGACCCTGATCACGTAACAATAGGTGCATTGTTGAAGGCATGCACTAAAGCTGGTCAGGTGCTGTTTCTTTGTTCCCCAATCACTCTTTTTATTGTACTTTACTATAGATCTTTAAACAATTCCTGTTTATTTTTTCTATTTGTTTTTTTTCAGGTTGATCGTGCAAAAGAAGTGTACAAGATGGTACAAAAATATAGCATAAAGGGATGCCCCGAAGTTTACACCATTGCCATTAATTCGTGCAGCGAAACAGGGGATTGGGAATTTGCTATTGCTGTATACAATGACATGACCCAGAAAGGGATCCTCCCAGATGAGGTACTTTAAAAAAATAATTTGTTGGTGACCTGGATTATAAAAGCTTTAGTTTCATAATACTATAAAACCATAATAAAAAAACACTTATTTGCATGGTGGTTTATTGAATTGATTCTTGTATGTTTTTCTTCATTTCTATACTGTTGTTTTCTTACAGAATTTGTTTCATCATGCAGATATTTCTGAGTGCACTGATAAATGTTGCTGGTCATGCTAAAAATCTGGATGCTGCCTTTGATGTTCTACAAGAAGCCCGTGAAAGAGGAATACGAATTGGAATAACATCATATAGCTCATTGATGGGTGCATGTAGTAATGTATGTCTGGTCAAGTAATAAAATTTAAGTGGAAAAGAAACAGAAAACAAGATGGTCATGAAATGAAAACATCATTAATAAAACCCAGGGCAATTTTTTAGTCATGAAACTCAAAAAATTGGATTATGGATTTTATATAGTATGCATAATAAAAGGTAAGGGACCTGAAATCGATTGAAGGTCTATTGATGGGACAGTAGAGTGCATTTGAATTATGTATTAGAAACAGATGTTAAAAATATGTTTTTATGTTTAAAATAAAATCATCAATTAAAAAGAAATTTATTCAATGACTGTTATTAGGCTTTCTAATAAGGAAAGTAATGAAGTCACAGGTTTCCTAAAATTACCACGTTTTTCTGGCATTTTTGCTATTAGTTTTAATTAAGAAATAAATATGGATGCAGAATGTTTTTTCCAGTGTAGTATATATGGATTTTTGTGCTCGAGTTGTTGATCCTGAATCTAGAAATTAATAATAATGAAATAGGAGTCTGACCTAAGGCAATTACTGTGTACTTTTATGTTTCTTTTCCATATAAGTTATGCTTTTTCGACTCTTTTTTCGCCAGCATTGACTTCAGTTACTAACTACTGGCAAATGCTTGTTTCAGGCAAGAAATTGGCAGAAAGCATTGGAGCTATATGAATATCTTAAGTCTCTTAAATTGACAATAACAGTTTCAACAGTTAATGCTTTGCTCACTGCACTGTGTAAGTTTGACCTTTTTCTTTGGTCTTTAATATTGTTACGTTCATTAATGTTTGATCGGAAAAATATTAAATAACTTGGAAAAGTAGTTCTTTTCAAAAAATGAAGGTCTTTGAGGAGTTTAAGTCTCAGAGGTATGAGTTGTCCATATAAGAGACATGACACCACTTCCAAAATAAAATCTTAAGACTCAATGTTTGTAGGTCTTGTTTTCCGTATAAATCAATTAACTTTTTCATTTCTACTCAATGAGATTTTCAAATCATACTTGGATTCCTAACATGTTTAACTTTTCCTGATTCTTGTAAATGAGGTGTGGTTCCTTTCTCTACCTTTGTTTTGCTTGATTATGGATACTTCAAACTTTCTTCTCATTTTTCTAGCTGTTTCCCCAATCTGTACAGTTACATTGTTTAAGTTAGCTGATTAATGGGGAAAAAGGAGTTTAAACATTGTAAGAGTTCTGTACAGGTGATGGAGATCAATTTCAAAAGGCTTTGGAAGTTTTTTTTGAAATGAAAGGATTAGGATTGTGCCCAAACAGTATCACATTCTCGGTACTTATAGTGGCAAGTGAGAAGTAAGTGGTCTAAGAGGATTTTGTCATTAAGTTACTGTTTTGTTTTGGTTCTTTCTCAACGAATTTCCTATTTTTTCTGCCCTGATAGAAAGGATGATATGGAGGCAGCTCAAATGCTTCTTTCTGAAGCCAAAAAAGATGGTGTAGTCACTAATCTCATAATTTGTCGATGCATAATTGGTGAGTCTCATTCAATTTTGTCAGCTTCAATTCTCGCTCTGTATTGCTCAGCCTTTGCTATTGCTTTGAAAATCACCAGTTTCTTGCATGACTTATATTTATACTCTTACCCTCCGCATTTGGAGCTATATTATTTGGAAACTATTGTCACCTCGTGTAATGAACGCAAATACATTGAAAAGTGATGTATAATTTTCCATTTTTCATTTTTTTTCTTGTGTTATATCCTTTAAAGTCCAAATATTTAATACACCACTGGTAGAATTTGACATGTTAATGATATGAAAAAAATTCTTAAAAAGTTCAAGATTGATTAGAATTAGATTTGTTGATGTGAATTAAAAACAAAATCATATTTTGCATAAGTTCACTATCTTTTTTGAGAGACATATCATTTCTCATTAACACATAATCACATTCGTGGTTGGTGATCACAGTTTCAAAAAGGTTACTTGATGTGATCGTATGGCCAAAGTCCATATCAAAATATGTTCTTTCTCCAAGGAACATATAAAAATTTTCACACCTTTATTATAGAGCATCACAAAAAGCATCTTTAGTCCTCTTCAAGAGAACTCGTGATTCCATAATCGTTAGTCCTAATGAAAAAAGTTTTGGCTCTACAAATTTGCCTTCTTTTCATTATTTGTTTAAGGATATAAAGGAATAGGATAGACTCATATTAGAGTTGTGTAATTTAATCAAAGGTAAGAGTTTTATACAAATGTATTAATAATATTTTCTGAAACAGCAAAAGTTGCTGCGTATAGGACAGGAGAATATAGGTTGTGTAGGATCGAACAAATTCTTTCACAGTTTTGTGTTTGTTCAGTTAGCTAATTGTGTGCAATCGCATATTAAATATTTCTGTGGCTGTTTCATATAGAAAATACAGAAATCAGGATGGAATCGTATTCCTTCCCCTAAATTATAAAAAAATGAAAGCGTTAGGCTCATATGATATGTATTGAATTTTATTTATAGGACTAGTTTTTAATTTGCTGGGATCTTCAAGCAAAAGGTTGTGGATTTTGGTTATCTTGTGGCCCATATCTATTCATATATTACGCCTTGATAGTTCTGTGATTTATAAATCCTGATAGCACTTTGATTTCTTGGAAAGGAATGTGCCTGCGAAGATTTGAGAAGGCTTGCATTGTTGGTGAGCCTGTTTTATCTTTTCACTCAGAGCGGCCGCAAGTTGATAATAAATGGTATACATTACGTTTACAATTTTTTGTTAAGACAACTCTTTATTTAACTATTTAACCATTTATAGATATTCCTTTACGTATTTGTTTTTTCAATATACGCATATCAGAGTGCTGCTTTTTATAGTGAAACTATTGCATTTCTACAACATTTTGTTTGAAATGATCCTATTTTTATTCATTCTTCTCAATTGAATCTGTCTAAGGAAAAAAACTAAAAACAATAGGAAAAAGTCTGTAAATCTCTGTTCTCGGCATTTTTATGACTTAATTTTCTCAGGCTTCTCTTGTTTTTTTCTTCGTGGAAGTTTTTAATGCTGTTTTTACTCTAAAGGACATCGCTGGCCTTAATGGTGTTTCGTGAAACAATTGAAGCTGGTCAAAAACCTACAAGTGAAATATTGTCACAAATTCTGGGCTGCCTGCAACTTCCTTATGATACATCTCTGAAAAATAGACTTGTTGAGAACCTAGGAGTTAGTGCAGATACTTCAAGAGGATCAAACCTCTGTTCATTAATTGATGGATTTGGTGAATACGATCCTCGTGCTTTCTCTATACTTGAGGTCAGTATGTAGCTGAAGTAGTTCTATTCAATATCTTGGGCCTTATTGTTTCTAAGGGAACCTGGATCATCATATGATGCTGTAATGATTTTGTAGGAATCTGCTTCATATGGAGTTGTTCCATTTGTATCATTTAAAACGAGTCCCATTGTTATTGATGCTAAAGAATTACATGCTTCTACTGCTGAGGTGAGTTAATCTAACTCCTACCTTGATTATTTATGTTTCATAAAAAGTTTGCATTTTAACTTTGAAAGGCTAGAGAAAGAGGGAACTGTACGTGTGGGATTCATTAACTCAACTGCATTTGGGAATTACAATCCTTGAATTTCTATATATAGAAATCAGGTTCAGTGTAAGTAACGTACCCAAGCCTGTCCCATAGTTTATGAAAGCTGAAATATGCTCTCTATATTCCTAAATTCACTAACAAGTCTAAAATTAACATATTTTTTAGCAGAAAAAAAGTGCTTTACAGTGGGTATACATGACATACACGATCTTCTTGCATAGCCGACATAAGCTTACTGTGTTCCAGGATTAGCTAACAAGTTTAAAATGCAGAAAAAAAGGCTTTAGAGTCACTGGACACATAATTAGCACACAACATAACCGGATGTAAATTATTGGACTTTATTTTACAGACACATTTGATATTTGGTGTGTGATCTATTATGATACCAATGTGCAATTTTTGCTCCAANCACGTAAACTGCAACGTGACCCTTTGGAACATTGTTCGACTTCAACGATGTGTGTTTTGCATTAACCAGAAACGGCAAACGAATACCCATCGATCGAAGGTTGCTTGGTTCTGTTTGGTGCTGGTGGTGTTGAGAAAGTGAAGATTGGGTGGTGGATTATTTATAGGAGGAAGATGGAGGGAAAAATCGTACGTGTCCAACTCATAGCAAACTGAGGGTCCCAGTTCGTAATAATGTTGAAGAAAGAGTCACATGGTTTTGTTGAAGGAGAAGCTAAAATGCACGTCAAAGTGTTCTCACTATTTGGTTTGGTTCATGAGCCAGCTAAGTTCCATTGGAGAATTCTTTTTCACCATTCTCTTCTAATCACTACATACTATTTTTTTGTATCAAAGTGCAGTACTCTGAAAACGATAACTGTCTATCACTGTCTCTCTTCACTCCACCAACATTGTTAAGTTTCGGATACATTTGACAGGAATAACAAAAAGAAAAAGTTCAAGTTCATCTAAAATGATTACAAGTTTAAGTCTACTAACGGTTGGATACAAACAAAGTCTCACGTCGGATAAAATAAAAGATGAACATTTGTTTATATACACATAACATATATTTCCATTGTTGAGAGACTTTTTGGAATGGTACCAAAAACAAATCTTTGAGAGCTTGACCCAAAGTGAACAATATTTTATCAGTATGAGTGTGGAGTGATTCTGTAAAATTGAATTAAGTTTAATTAAAGATTATTTTTTAGTTGATCTGAAATAATTTATTAATATCTAGTTTTATATTCGGATTAAAATTAACTTTTTACAAAAAAAAATTATCTTTTTTTAAAATTAAATTATATATGTATTTTTTCTTTTCATTTTATGAAAAATATGTAAAATTCTTTCTACAATGAATCATACACGAACACTATATTATAGTTTATCATCCGAGAAAATATTTTATATGATTTTTATAAAATACAACTCGGAATAAGTATATAATTTGTTTTAAAGACAATATAATTTTTTAAAACAACTTTTCAAGACAAAACATGTTTAATCAAAGAAAAAGAATATATTAAATTGCAAGTAAACTCATAAATAAAAGCATACAATAATTTTACCGACATTATAAGATATATATTCACATATATTCAACAAAATTAATTAATATATATACAATTTTTCTACTATAAACTTTTTCTAACAAAAAACTAACAAAAATCAGAAACTGGAACAATTATTCTAATAAAATTACAAATTGTTTTATGTAATTTATTTTATAAAATTACAAAGAAATATCCCTTCACTCAAAATACCTATTAGTTAAAAAGACCAAGAAAATTTGGCTTTCCTTTTCGTTGTTTTCTTTTTCTTCCATTATTTATGGAGGAAACACGAGGAGGCGAAGAATGGTGATAACGTGGCCATGCATTAACTCTAACTTCATTCACATCCATAGCATTATTCAACCTTTCTCCAACCATAACTTTATCTTCTGTTACTTCTGTCTTTCGTACACCTACACTTTCCTTAACAGTATGTTCAATGCATTTTCTGCTTATTTTATCACTGCCAAGTGAAAATAACCTACCAACTTAATAAACCGACACACCATACTCAGCTACATTAAATTCTCAGAACTAATATAAATCTACTANGTGCCATTTGTATATTTTATTGATGGTGATTATAGTGAGTCATTTAACTGTTTGACACATCCGCATGTTAGTAAGATGTATATTCAACATTGATTATCTGAAGTGGTCAAATGGCACGAGCAAGTCAAATTCAAGTTTCTTAAATTTTTCTTAGTTGTTAGCAGTTTATTGACTACCCCTGGTAAGATATAGTTACTTGCATATCATCCGAGTATATTTTCACTCTGCATTGTGTTTTAAGGAGATTATTTGTCGTAAAAGACTGAATTGCATGTGATGTGACTGTAAAATTGAAAGCTTTCATTGTGTGAATTTATTCAATTTCTTTTAATTGGAAATTTTCTCTTGTACAATGTGTCTAGAAAATATTGTTTAAGAAATTTGTGTAACAAATGTGCAATATTTTGACTTCAGAGCTGGCCAAGCAATTGGAGCGTTATTGAGGAGGCTTCAGATTCCTCATCAGGGTAATGAATCGAATGGTAAGATTCGAATTCATGGTGCGGCTCTGAAAAAATGGTTTCAGCCCAAACTTGCATCTCCATTTAGCGGAAAACCAGGTGATTGGAGTTCCTCCATGTCACGACTGGGTAAAGGTATCAGTCATCAGCAACGAAACATCCGACTTGGCAATCTGTCTTTGGACTAAGACAAGCATCTGCTTTTTGCTTTCTTTCCTGCCCCCTCTTCACCAAATCATCTTATTGTTTTTTCAATATTTAAGTTGAAAGCTCCTTCATCCTAATGGTATAATATAAGAGTGATTTAGACCCAAGAATGCAGATGGTGCCTTCTTGAGTGCTGAGGCCATTGAATGGTAGGAGCAGGGAAAGTGTAGGACATCTCAAAAACTTCATTCTGGTGACCAAGGTCGTACCCGCGATAGAATATAAATGGCAGTTCTTCACCTGCAGCTATGTCATGGCCTTTGCAACGCGGATTATATATGTATGATAGAGATGCAGATGTTTCATGTATGTATGTATCTATGTATCCGTTTTTGCTACATGTATTCTTTTTGTCTAGAACTCTCCATATGTAAACTATACAATAGGACAATTTAAACAACAATAAAGACGATTTTGATGTTTATAAGTTCTTCCGTTATTTTCAATCATTCTAATGAGATTACTGATTTGGTCCCAGTGTGCTTGGTATTTAGATTGGATTATTCAAAATCACATTAAAAATACCAATTAACATGATCCTAGACAAATATTTATATATTTAGCTTACATTAAGAAATTGATTTAGGATATAAAATTAAATTTCAGGTCGGAGTACTTTTATCTAGTTTTTAAATTGACTCTTACTATATTAACTTATTTTAAAAAACTTTTAAATATATTGAAAAAATATTTGTTCATAAAAACCAACCCTTTGATATAGTAAGGTCAAACTTAACATTTGAATTTAATATATTAGAAAGATTCACAAAACATTAAATTTAACTACTTTTTAGTCTACAAATATATCTTGATTCTTTCATTTGTAACATATATTTCAAAATATTTTTTAGTTTTATCAATGATGTATTTTTATTATGTTTTTATACACTTTCAATAAAGAATCTCTTTAAAACAGAGACAGAGGAAACTAAAATATGACTAAATAATGCATATATTAACAATTTAAACGATACTGCTATTTAACCATAAACCATCTTATGTAGTAAAATTGTTTTTAGAATATTAATTTAAAAGTATGAAAAATGAATTTTAGTCGGTCGAGACTGCATAAATAGCCTTTAGAAAACAACCAAATTAAGGTATCTATGTATACAAAAAAAATATTTAAGTAATTTTTAGATGAAATTAAAATTTATTGTATATATTTATATAAAATAATTGTTATTACTATATATATAAATAATGTTGAGTTTAGTTTTTGTACCGTGTAAGAAAAATATTGATCAATAAAAAATATTGTTGGTGCGACTTTTAAGACAAATACTTTAAATTTATATGAAATTTTTAATTAAATACCATTGTAAAAAACTATACTATATACTCTTTCCTCGACAAGTTTTTCATCCCCTCTTACGTATTTGTCTCTTTAATTTTTTTTCTTCTACCATTTACTTATGTTTATTTCTCCACTTTAACATTTTTGTGTATTTTGTACCCCCATGAAAGAAAATCCAATTTAAATATTACGAAGGTTTAAGTCAAAACCTTTAAAGTTTAAACTTGAAGAATGTACATAATAAAAAAACACAAACATATTTAATAACCCGAATAGTTAATTCAACTTTTTTATTCCGTATTAACTCCAGCAGCTTGCAACTGACCTATGAAGGCGAAAAACAAAGGTTCCAAACAATAAATAAATGGAAGTGAGGTTTGCAGGAAGAAGAAGTAGTTACAATTGCCAAGGCCATGGCCATCAATTTTGATTCTCCAGACAAAGTTAACTCATAAGTTTGAACACAATCTCATAATAATAGTAACAATGGTGAGTGAGTTAAAATGCAGTCAACTAATATATAGTAGTACTACGTAGTACGTAACAATGGTGTCTGTCTCAGAAGGCACGCATTTGAGAAGTGAGATTGATGAAAGCTTCTTCTTTGCAAGGAATTGTGAGGCCTCCCATGGGATGGTTGAACCCAAACTCTTCTTCTGCTCGGTTCAGCAAATCAAGAAACAAAGGGTGCTTCAAATATGATATCGGCACCACAAACCTCTTCTTTTCGACATCTCCCACGTAAACTGCAACGTGACCCTTTGGAACATTGTTCGACTTCAACGATGTGTGTTTTGCATTAACCAGAAACGGCAAACGAATACCCATCGATCGAAGGTTGCTTGGTTCTGTTTGGTGCTGGTGGTGTTGAGAAAGTGAAGATTGGGTGGTGGATTATTTATAGGAGGAAGATGGAGGGAAAAATCGTACGTGTCCAACTCATAGCAAACTGAGGGTCCCAGTTCGTAATAATGTTGAAGAAAGAGTCACATGGTTTTGTTGAAGGAGAAGCTAAAATGCACGTCAAAGTGTTCTCACTATTTGGTTTGGTTCATGAGCCAGCTAAGTTCCATTGGAGAATTCTTTTTCACCATTCTCTTCTAATCACTACATACTATTTTTTTGTATCAAAGTGCAGTACTCTGAAAACGATAACTGTCTATCACTGTCTCTCTTCACTCCACCAACATTGTTAAGTTTCGGATACATTTGACAGGAATAACAGAAAGGAAAAGTTCAAGTTCATCTAAAATGATTACAAGTTTAAGTCTACTAACGGTTGG